AGGGGGTGGGGCCAGGGGGTGAGATCTTCATTGCGTTATCTGTGCACGGTGAATGGCCCTTCCCGGGGGGGGCCCCGCCTATGGCCGCCATGTTCCCAGCGCAGGCAATGGAAGGAATTCCAGGGGTAGATGGCGCGGTGACATCATTGCTGACATCCTCCATGTGTCTCCTCCTCCAGGTGAAGATGATTGTGGGCCTCATTCTCTTCTCTCTCCTCGTCTGGGTGGACAGCGGGGAGCCGCCATGCACCTCCCCCATCCCGGGTCTCCCCGGAATTCCTGGGGCGCCGGGCAGAGACGGACGCGACGGTCTGAATGGCGCCAAAGGAGAGAAAGGTAAGAAGCTGCCCCAGGTGTAGTGAGGTGTCATGGAGGACACACCCATCTCCAGGCCACTCCCACAGGACCGGAAGATCCTACAATGTGTTGATGTTCCTGGACAGCGAGGAGCCGGGGGGGTGCGCACATATTATATCCATGTGCCCGGTACGGGGGTCCCTGCACCCCCCATGTGGAGTCACCTGACTAAGAGTTCTAATAGCTTTCTGTAATCCGCAGGGGAGGGGCCTATCAGCGGGGGCGTGGTCTGTATCATGGGCATTGCCCACCTGAAGACAATCCATGTTATTTACAGCAGAAGATAATCTTTAACATTCATAAACTCCGCCCAGTGCACCTTTGGCTCCACCCCTGCGGTTCCCTTTCCCCTTTCATAACTTCCTGTGCTGAACTCTTGTGTCTCTGCAGGTCTGCCGGCAAACTTGAAAACGGCCGAAATCAAAGGGGAAAAGGGAACTAAAGGCCCTGGGGGCCCAGTGGGAAAAAGAGGCCCCAGGGGACTCTCCGGGCCCCCGGGAGAGAAAGGCGAGCCGGGCCCCCGAGGTGACAGTGGGATCCCCGGTAACCAGAAGCGCCAATATCAGTCGGCCTTCACCGTGAAAAGAAACACGGGGGAGCACCCCGAGAAGGACACGCCCATCAAATTCAACGAGGTCATCACCAATATCCATGACGACTACAGCAGGGAGACGGGCAAGTTTGTGTGCCGCATCGCCGGCCTCTACTACTTTGTGTACCATGCGTCCCAGTCACAGAACCTGTGCGTCACCCTGCGCGTGGACGGTGACACCAAGGCCAGCTTCTGTGACCACGTGTCCAATACTCGGCAGGTGACTTCCGGCGGCGTCCTGGTCCAGCTGAAGAAGGGCCAGGAGGTGTGGCTTGTCACCAACGACTACAACGGCATCATCGGCATCGAAAATAACGACAGCGTCTTCACCGGCTTCCTGGTCTTTCCAGGTTAAGGATGGACGTGTGGGCGGAGCTTCAATCTGCAATGGGCGGAGCTTGTATTGCCTTCTGTTCCCAGGCCAATGACCTACTAATCAATTATTGAGGTTGGCCACCATATAGAGTGTAAGCTCCTTGGCCCAGAGTCTCCCTCTCTTATCTGTATTTCCTGTTTCATCTTCTACAAGAAATGTAACTTTGTATCTCTTCATTAAATACGTTTCTCAGCAGTGCC